CGGCTGAGAGGCATTCCTGCGCACCTCGCGCCAGGTGGTGAATTCCCCACATGGACCCTGTGGCTGAGTGGTGGCCAGCGCCCCCCAACCCCCCCCCCCCCGCCTGGGGGCTGCTGCATCGGCGCTGCCTCTGCTTCCCTATGAACCTCTCGGGGCCCCCCTGATGCCTGGGGAGATGGAGAACATGGGCAAACAGAGCATCACAATGATAAACAGACGACCCCCACCGCCTGGGACCCAGAGATGCTCAAGACACATGCAGCCTTCACTCCCTCCCCCTGGCCTGCTGGTGGCAGCTCTGTGGATGAAGACGCGGCCCGCGGGGTGTTCTGGTTTAACACCGTGGTTGTGCAACACGAGGCCCCGCCCCCATGACCCGCCCTCCTCTGCGCCCTCAGCCCCACTCTCTCCTCCACTTGGGCAGGATTCATACAAAATTAACCGGAGGTTCCGTTTCACAACACTCCAGTATCCAGTTGCCACCCCACCCTGCTGCCGCCTCACCTTCTTTATCCCCTTCTCCCCCCCCACCCCCCCCCGGAAACACAATGCAGGGAGCACCTGGAGGGACGTATCTGAGCTGCCCCTTCTAACAGCCCGACGTGCCAGTGTCGGGAAGTGAAGGACAGGGGTTTTCCTGCCCAGCGACTCAGAGCAATGCCGCTCTGAGCTTGGGGAATTGAAGCCAGTTCCATGGGCGACACACGTGTCTGTGTCCTGTCCCCTGGCTACAGCCTTCCATCCCCCACGAGGGTGGACACCAGGGGTATCTGCAACCTCTTCTGTCTCCCTCCCTTCTCTTTATTTTTTCTTTTATTTTAGAGAGAGAGAGAGAGAGAGAGAGAGAGAGAAAGCGTGTGAGCAGGGGAGAGGGGCAGAGGAAGAGAGAAAGAGAGAGAAAATCTTAAGCAGGCTCTATGCCCAGCGTGGAGCCGGACCCAGGGCTTGATCTCGTGACTGTGAGATCATGATCTGAGCCAAATCCAGGAGTCAGACACTCAGCTGACCAAGCCACCTAGGTGCCCGACTCCTTCCCTTCTTTCTGTGAATATTTATACGAGCCCCCAGGCGTTGTACCAAGTGCTGGGGACATAGTGGAGAATGACAAACAGCTCTTGCCTCTGGGGACTCACGGGCCACTCATCGCCCATCTTTCCAGACTCATCGCAAAGTAGCCTGCTCCGGGAAGCCTTCTCTGGTAGCACATCTACTCTTTGTTCAGTACTGTGAGGATAGGACCCATGCATGTTGTTATAAGAAATATTTGGCAGTGATAATGATATAATGACAGTGATAATGAACATCATTTTGGAAGTGTCTAGGGCATGCCACACACCACACTAAGCCCTTCAGGTGGATTATCTAATATTCACATCCTGTGAGGTAGGTGGCGTTATTATTCCCATTTCACAGAGGAGGCAATGGAGGCTTGGGGAAGTTAACTGAATTCTTCTAGTGTGTCTCTCGGAGACAAGTGTCCCTCGAAGAGTAGGCCTGTCAGAATTTGAACCCGGGCCTTGGGCTCTATTGCTGGAAGGGTACGGAAGGAAAGGAAGCAGTGGAGGGCAGAGAGGGAAGGGCATCACCAGAGTGGAACGGAACAGACAGCGGAAGAGGGAAGGAACAGAACTCAGATCGGGGACAGAGGCCCTCCCAGGGAGCCCGTTTACCCCACAGTTGTCACCAGAGTCGGGTCTTCAGGGGGACGGTCCAACGCTGCCCGGCCATGGGAACTGAGTCCCTGGCCCATGCCGGCCGCAGGTGGTGCCCCGGGTGGGAGTTGATTTCTCATGGTGTCAACCCCCCTCTATCCCTTACGGAGATCTTTTTGCCTAAAATTAGCTGGATGTGAAGGCTAATTTATGCACGGCCTGGAGCAGTTTCCTGGAGTGTGACTCAGAGGCCGGCTCCTTGCTCACGTCAGCAGACGGGGCACAGGGGTGTCGGGAATGGCCGGCCTGAGTCCCCGTCTGGAGCTGGCCCAGCCCCAGACCATGTGGCTTTTAAGCTGGGGGCTGGGGCTGGAGGCCAAGCATTTCTTAAAGTCAGAAGAGGGCTGAACGAGGTAGGACAAAAAAGCTGAACACAAGAGAGAAGACAGAAAAGGTGGCCCCAAACTACCCAGGCCCTCGTTGGACAGAAGGCACCTTTAGAGGACTGTTCCCGGGTGCACACACTTGGCTCAGGTGTGAGGACATCGCTGGTGTCCAAGAGAGCTGTGTTCAAAGTCTGCTCTGATGGGAATAGTGGTGGTGACCTCGAGCCCTCATGCTTCTCATCCATGAAATGGGAGAGCAACACATGCTTCCAGGAACATGTGTGATGAGAATGCAGAAAAGCCTGGCAAAACGTGTCACGCCATTCATGGACAATGGCCAGCGTTCCAGGGGGTCAGATTCCACCTCTTCCAGAGAGCGTGACTGCTTCTTCCAGAGCAACGATAACCATAAGGAAAACAACAGCAATAAGACATTTACGAAGCACTTAGAGATTGGGCACTTGGCCTAATCTCATTCAACATTCACAACCCATTTTACCGACGGGGAAACAAAGGTGTTTAGTCTCAGGGGCTGAATCCCAACACGCAGCACTAGCCACGGGGCAGGCATTGTTCTACGCTACTTCACTTTGTCCTCACCACCCTACGAGACACTCACTATTATTCTTCCATTTTACAAACAAGGAAGCCGAGGGACGGAGAGGTGGATACCTTGCCCAGAATCCCACAGCTGGTAGGTGGCAGAGCTGGGATTTGAACCCAGGTCACCGAAGTCTGAGGTCGGCAGCAATATGCTCTTCTGCCTCTCCGCAAACTTCTTCCAGCTCGACCTGCGCCCTGGGAGATCCTTCTAGGGACCAACGCAGCAGAGCCCTGGTTAATCCGGCTACGGGCTTTCCTCCTTCTCAGGGATCTTTCCCATCAGAGATCTCATTTGGTTCTCATGAAAAATTCGGAAGCCAAGACCCAGCGGGGTCAAACAAAAGGCACCAAAGCATGCAGGCCACAGAGCAATATTCCCAACTGTCATCATTCCCTCCGCCGTAGAGATGAGAACACAGGGTCTCCTCAATTTCCACATACGCCTGCCTTGTTGCAAGTACACTGGCATTCTGTGGGATTGCACCTAAGAAATGCTGCTCTGTGCCGTGTTATGTGCTTTTCCTTCTCTTTCCTCCATAGCCAAGTTCAAATGCCTCCTCCTGCAGGAAGCCTTCTCCGACCTTCGCTGCCCACCCATCTTGCCTCTCCTCTGAGCTCTGGGGTCCATGCTACACTTAGGCTGGATTATGTGCTGTTTTGGCTACTGGGCCACCTGAGCTGCCCCTTGTGGGCTGGGGACTCCGTGGCCACGTCTCAGGGTTTTACTGGGCACTTATCCACCCTCCTCGGTGTCAGGTACCAGACCAGGAACTAGGTGTGTGGAGAGGAGCAGGACCGGGTTCCCGCCCTTCGGTGTGTTCCTGTCTTTCCGGCAGCACACAGTGGGGCACACGGTGAACCAAATGGCAATGGCCCCGCACAGTGCTGGAGCTTGGCCACAGACAGGCCTCTCAATTTCCCAGGGTCTGAGAGCCTGTCAAGGGGGAGGGAAGGGGGGTTTCTTCACACCAAGGTTCGTCTCACAGGCCGAGGTCCATGGCTTTGCTTTGAGGGGCTCTGCGAACGTGCCGGCAGTGAGCCATGTCTGTAATATGCACTTGGTGTTGTTTTTTTTCTTGGGGGGGGGTGGGGGAAGGACTCCAGTTTCCACAAGGTCTGAGGCCCAGAGACACTTAAGACTTCCCAACTCAAGAGAACCTCCTGGCCCCATAGAAAAGACAAAGACGACCTGGGTAACCCTGCCTCCTGGCAGGCGAGTGTGCCAACCTGATGGCAGAGGCGAGCACGGGCCATTCTGCCACAGAGTAGGGTTCACATGAGACTCAGGGGCCCCCTGGAAGGGCTCACTCCCATCTCAGGGCACATGTGGCTGTTCTTAAGCCCTGAGCTACCACTGTCCTCCCCACCCTCAAACAAAACCAAACAACACCAAGAGAGCAAGGTGCTTCTAAACGTCTGCCTCGCTCAGCGGCTGGGTCCCTAAGCAGCCTCTGTAGGAAATGGGTTGAGGGCTGGTACCCAGCAGTGCCCAGAGTGTGGGGACTGCAGTCAGGGGACAGGACAGGAGGGACCTTTGGCCTTGGATTTCTTGTCTGTCACACGGGGATAAGAATTCAGATGCTATCTGTCATCCAGCTTGTGCTCTGTGCTTGGGGGAAAGATTGCCATCCACTCTTTAGAATAATAATGGCTGCCACTTATTGAGTACCTACTATATGCTCAGGCTTCTAGTAGGCACTGTGAGGTAGCCATTGGTTGCATTTTCCACCGGAAGAAACTGAGGCTCGGTGCAGCCTCTTTGCACAAAGTGGTAGGATGGGGGGTGCCAGGGAGGAGCCTCACGCCCACACCTTGAGGGTTTATGCAGGGAACTCTTCTCCCCCATGGCAATGGGAAGGCCACCGTGGGGATGGGGACCCAGCCTCTACGCTCTGCTGTTTTCTCTTCCTTCTGCCTCACAGCAGATGACCTGGCTTTGGTCCCCTTCAGAGGAGCACCCAGAAGCTGAAACCCTCTCTCTCCCAAGTTCCTAGGCCTGTTCATTTTGTCAGTGACACAAAAGCCCCACGCCCATCTCCAGGGCAAGACACACATGGGTCTCTGTCGCCTTTCCAGTGATGGCCTGTCTTCCTGCCTGCTCTGTCGTCCCGCAGTTCCATGGCCTATGGCTGCCCCAGAGACCTAGGGAGCCACCATCAGAGTTTGGATTTGGGACGCTTGGACACAACTCAGGCCAGCAATGTGGGTTGTGGAGCTGGATTTGAATGCATAGTAGCAATGCTGTGGCCCCATGCTTACACCCAGATGAGGGGGGTTCCTGGAGCCTGGGGAAGGGAGGCCAGGGACTGGGTGGCTAGATCCCAAATCCGAACACTGTGTTCAAGTCTTCCACACCTACCTTCCACAGGTGAGGTTTTGAGGCGCCGGCAGATGGCTTCAGTGTCCCCATAAGTCTCCTTGATCTTGACCACAGCCTCGGTGCCCCGCAGCTCCATGAGGGAGCGGAGCTCCTCCATTGTGCACCCGAACTCGCCCCCATGGCTTGACTCATTTCTTTGGTTTTTGGAGTAAAAATCGCTGTTGGTCATGTCACCCATGTTTGCCCCAGTCCCTGCTCGGGGTGAGCCCGAGAGTCAGTGCTGGACGAGAGGCTGCTGGGCGATGGCTCCGTGTGCCTGTCCTCAGCACAACCTCACTGGATGACTGTGGCTCCTGGTGGCCGACTCTGGGTCCCAGGGGGAGGGGGCGGCCGAGGTGGGCTGGCGACAGCGGTGGTGAGCTCCAAGGGGTGTCCCTGGGCACGGGGCAACGTCCAGGGGCCGGAGGGGCTCAGGGCTGTAGACCCAGGAGTCTCCATTCAGTGGGGCCCATGCTGCTCCCTGGAGCTGGCATCTACATGGTCAGGGGCGGTGGCTCCTGTGGGGGCAAGCACAGAGTGGTGACAAGTGTCAGGCACTGGAGGTTTCACGGGGCAGGTGCTCAGGAAGGCCCAGCCTGCACGTGCTTGTACACACACAAACCACCCCAAATAACACCCATTACATATACACATACCCTAACATGGGTGTTCATACAATACCCCATAGCACACCAGCAAACACTGTAAATCCAAAGGTACAGTGTCCCCTCGGGCACTCCACAATATACCACCCCAAGCCACAGCCTGTGCACCCTCATAACATACCCTAGCCCCCTAATTGTTCACTCTGCAATTGAACACACTGGCTTCATGACACGCACCCTGGTGTACACATACCCTCTGACCTATACAGCTCAGAGTGTTTTGTACACCCAACCTGCCTACTTTTAGGGCCCATTGCACAGCCACACACACACACACACACACACACACACCAATGCACGAATCCCACTTCACACATATACTGGTGGACTCTCCCCCCTTCCTGCCATAAACACCATAATATGCAGTCACTTCTAGGCATATATCTTAACATTCCCACCCCCCTCTCCAAAAATACCCATGCTCACAGTCTTGTTTACTCACACACCATGCTCTCACAATCTGGAGCATGACCCCACTCCCCAAGTACATAGCCCCCAGGTCCCCCAGCACATATGCTTCCTTCATCTATGCCACCTGCATCTGTGCATACACTGTTATCCCCTCTGGTTTCACCACAGGCATGGGAAGGGCAGAAAGCCGCCCGCCTTCACCTGCAGCCCCCAACCACATTAATCAAGGCCCTTGGTGTGGCCAGAGGAGTCAGCTCATGCAGATTCACCAGGACGTCACTGAGCCCTCCCGCTTGGCCCCAAGCATGAGCTGGGGCGCATGGAACCCTCACCTGGGGCCCCCACAGTTCAGCACCATGGACAGCAGCCACGACGTCCCTCTCTGAGACCAGGAGGAGAGAGCACCAGCTTCTCCGTGCTGCCCGCACGGCCACCCTTACAGACGTGCCGCATCTGCAGGGCTGCCAGGAGAGAATCCAATCCACCCCGACACCCAACACCGGTGGCCAAGGCCCCCGGCAAGCATTGGGTGACAAAGGGCCTCTGCTGAGCTTGGCTGGGCCTGGCATGGGGACTGGCCCCACCCAGTAGGCATAGACAGCTGGCCATCCTAGGTCCAGGACAGTAAGGGGGAGGGTGTGGGGAGAGGAAGATGGGATTGAGCCCCTAACCTAGCCCCAACTCCTTCCCCGGTCCCCTGTCCCATCTCTTTCCTGCACCATCTTTCATCTTAGTGTTGGACGCATTTTAGACTCAATTTCATTTTCCCGGTAAGAAACTGGAAGCTCAGAGATGGAAAGGAACTTGTTCAGAGTCACACAGAGGGAGGCAGTCCGGAGGTTGCCTGGTCTCTGGACTCCCAGCCTGGTGCTTCTTCCCCTTCCCCTAGGGGGCGCTCCCTCCTTATTCTGAAGAGCAGACGCTGATGGATGAACAGTGCCTGATGGCAGTGAACAAGACAGGCTCTACAGTCAGAGCAACCTGGGTTCAAGTCCAAGTCCTCCCAAATCCTGGCTATGGGACCCTGGGTAAGTCCCTTCATTTCCCAAGGCTCTGTTTCCTTGTCTGTAAAATAATAATCATTGACCCCTGTTACCTCCCAATTATTGGGAACTAGTTATAAACCATATTCAAATTCGTTGTGTTTCCACCTGGGTTATGGGGCTTCTCAGCCATGGGTCATGGGGTGCTGGAGCCACTGGAGAAACTAGCCATGGCTTACAGAAGGGCAGCTTTACTCAAGGGTGCAGTAGGAAGCCTTATTTTCACACTGGGAGCAACAAATATCTTACAGAGTGCAGTATAAAATGGTCCTGATGTCTCTAGCAGAGACACAAGACACCAAAGAAAGAGTGTGCTTGGAGATCCCACTCATAGTCCTGTAGGAGCACTTATGGTCCTTGGCCATCTGAGCATGCACCATCCCCAGAGCCCATGAGTTTTGACCCCAACAGTGTATCCCTATGAGGAGCAGGTAAGAAAGGGACCAGGATGCCTGTATGTAGAGATGCCATAGAGGTTAACTGCAAGAGAAGTAAAAACTATAGTATCTGGGTTCAAATTCTAGCTCCTCTGCCTCCCAGTAGAATGGGAATCAAATAAATTTTAGTATTACCTAAAAAAAAAAGGAAAGGGGAATAATAGTATCTACTTATAGGTACTACAACACTTACATGAGTTATTTCCGGAAAAATAAAATATTACAACCAAACCAAGCTCCTGGGAAGCACTCAGTAATTATTGTGATTATTACCAATCCACATAAGCACTTCATGAGATAGGTAGTCTTTTTATCCCATATAACACACGAGGAAACTGAGACCAAGAGAGGTGAAGCAACTTGCCCAAGGTCACAGAGCTGGTGAGTGCCAGAGTTGGGATTTGAACTCAGGAAGTCTGGATCCAGAGCCACACCCTTAATCAGGACACCTTACTGTCCTCTCTTGGGAATCTCTCATGGGGTTCTTATGATGCATAAATAAAATGCTATATGTGAACAAGAAAGTGCTTTGCAAACCACAGGGGATTTTCTAAACCCGAGGTGCTGTTTTCTAGCTATCCCTCTTACAGGCACTGATAATTACATCTCTGGCAGCATGAGCTACGAGAATTGTTAGGAGTAATTATATTTACGATGACAATAGCTGGCATGAGTTAATGGGCTACTGGTGATTTTAACTACTGGGTTAAGATGAACAATGGTCTTCAACCATCTATTTAACCATCTACCCATCCATCCAATCATCCATTCAATAACTGTTTTGGGTACCTACTCTGTGCCAGGCACTAGACAATCCAGACAGAGTTCCTGCCCTTCTGAAACTGACAGTTGGGAGGAGAGACAATTAAATGAGTGATTTCTATAAGATGTTGGGTTTGCCATGATGGGAAGTGACCGTTGCTGTAGATGTCCAGGGCAGGAAGATCTGATCCGGCCCAGGGTATCAGGAAAAGTTTTTTCTCTCAGTATGAATAGGGAATATTTCTTTTCCCCATGCAGGTTAAGTAGGACTTAAGCCAAAAGATGACCAGAGAAGAAACTCAAATATACAACTGTCTGTTACTAGCAGGTTGGGCGAAACATAGTAAAAAGTGCGGGAAGGGACTTGTACGTACGGAGGGATGCAATTCTGGAATAACAAAATTAATTAAAAATCAGAAATCTGCTTCCGTAGGCGACTGATCTTAAACTTCCTTCTTTGAATAAAAACAAAACAAAACAAAAAACTTCCTTCTTTGAGATTTCTCATTGCAGCTACCACTTCTGATATGGCCCTTCCCCCACCCACTTCTCCCCTACTCCTGCATTTCATGGGTGCATGTATGAGACAACCCCTGTTCTGGGTGTCTTGGTTTGTCCTAACTTGCAGAGTTCACTTTGGTCCTTGATCTGACCGTAGGATTTGCTTGATCTGAGACTGTGAAGTCCACTGGCGCAGAAATATCTGTGGCACAAACGATCTTCTGGCAGATGGAAGTGAAGACCCACTAGCTTGTACAGAATTCACTGGAAACTCCATACTTGCCCCATATCCATCATAGAGCCCTCTCCACTAGCCAGGCCTTCCCCACCCAGACAACAGCTGTTTCTGCTCATCACAGTGCTCTTTCCTTGGAAGGCTTCCCTGACCACCCAGGACTGTGTAAATGCTCCCACCTCCAGATGCCTCTGGTATCATACTGCACTTCACATGTCATTGCTCAGGCCTACCTAGCTGTGTCCCTTCCTGGGGAGCCTGAGAGTTTTGTGTGGGCGGTAGCCATGTCTATTTTGTACCTAGTATGGGGTCTGGCATTCAGAAGGCACTCAATAAATGCTTGGTGAATGAATGGATCAGCCCTTGGGTCATCTGTCCTTAGGAGGTATGACTTTAGATAGGTCCGTGTACCTTAGTTTCCTCATCTATAAAATGGAGTAGTGATTCCTTTCCATATGTGTCACAGGTTTGCTGGGGGTCTGGAAAGATATCAGAATCAGTACTTACACTTTTTTCTTTGAGATACATCCCCCATTCTCCACTCCCTAGTGTCTCTTTGTTATAATGAGCCACGGGTGTGAGGTTAAAACTAGAGCAGGCAGTGTCTCCTTAGCCAAAGCCCACCAGACTCTGATGCTCTCACTGCCTCACTCAAATACCACATGAGCCAGCACTCTATATCTGAGGGGTGAAATAAGCTGTGTGACCTTGGAGAAGTCACCTAGCCTCACTGGGCCTCATCTGCAAAGTGGAATTGACCTACCTGTCTTGCAGGTTGCTGTGAGGCTCAGTGATACTCCTGTGTGTGGGCTCTTGGTGTGACTCCTGGCCTGGAACAGACGCTCTACAACACTGGCTTTGTGCCTCTGCCTGACGCCCCCCCACCCCCTTATTGGCACGTGTAGCTCTCTTGTGTGTTGAGATTCATTTGCAGCCAGCACTCAACATGGAGCAGTCACCTCTGCCCTAAGCAACGGGCACACAGGCTGCTCTGGACTGAATGTGTCCCCTCAAGTTCATGTGCTGAAATCCAAATCCCCGATGTGACGTATTAGGAGGTGGGGCCTTTGAGAAGTGCTTAGGTCATGAGGGTGGAGCCCCCATAAGTGGAATTAGTGCTCTTATGAAGAGACATGAGAGAAATAATCTTTTTCAGCCATGTGAGGACACAGTGTGAAGACGGCCATCTGCAAGCCAGGAAGAGGACTCTCATTAGGAACTGAATCTGCCAGCACCTTAATCTTGGACTTCCCAGCCTCCAGACATGTGAGAAACACATTTCGGTTGTTTAAGCTACTCAGTCTATGGTATTTTGTTGTTGCAGCCTGAGCTGACTGAGACGTTGGCCTGAGCAGGCC